CATTTGCAGTTGTTTTTAAATACTCTAAGTACCTCAAAAAAATTTTTGTTTGAGACACTTGAAATAAAGTGATGCATTACCAACATTCTAATTTTGAGGAGCCAAATAATAAAATAAACATCAGATAACTAAAGTAAAGGAAGAATATAGACATGGCTCCATTGCAAGTTCATTTTCAAGTTGATACAGTGGACCTGAACAGGCTGAAAGACGATGAGAAAGACCTGGCACATCAGAGACTAGCCACCATTGCTCAGTGTAAAAATGAAATATACTGACAATTAGAAAGAATTAATACGGTATGGGGAAGGTAGCTTGATTTCCCGCGAACGGAAGTTTCCTATCCCTGTAACTCTAATATCTATGGATTTACTCTATTATCTATGCTCCACCCGCACACACAGTAATGGTGGCACATGGCCCTAAGTGGTGAAGAAAGCTTTAGTTTTTCTCGATTTTTCAACAGTTTAGCATACATTTGTTAGGCTCTATTTGTTGCATACAAATGTCTTTTGAGCCCCTGATGTTTAAAGACTCTGGCCGCTACTTCGGGAGAAGAGAGCCTCGTGTAAACTCACAAAAGTATGAATTTTTGGGCTACCATATCTTTAAAACGAAGATGATTGGAGCAATTCCTCTCATATTAATGAAACATGAGGCTTTGCTTTATTGTTTTATCTGCCCAGTTGCTCTTTTGCTCTCACTATGAAAGAGTTCATGTCCAGAAATGAGTGGACACGGAGTAGTATACTGAGCAATTATCTCCGTATACCACTGATTGACTTTATACAGGGCAGGAATGGACATTTCCATTTACTAGGCTATATCTTTCTTTACAATAAGAATCATCAATTTGCGCACTTCAGTAGCTGTTCTTCATCCATCTACCTGTGTTCCTGCTAAATATTACAGCATTTGGAGTAACTTTGTGTGGAACATTTACCAATTGAAGATGAGGCAGTCAGTGCCGCCATTTTGTCATTCCTTTATGTATGTATGATAATTTTTTTACTTTTTGAATGGTTATATCTAAATTTCAAACAATTTTTGACAATTTGCTCACTTATTTTGTGAAAGTACAAAATTCTTACTACCCAATGATGCAAAAAAGATAAAGAAATTCAAAACTTTGTTTGGAACATTTGTCTCCTGAAGGTGAAGTAATTTTAGCCATTTTAATGATGACGGGTGCCGCAGCAAGAGTCAACAAGTCACAAGTACTTTCCTCTTCTCTTAGGAATAATAAAGTGAAAGAAAGAGTGCTTAACATCTTATATATACAAGCAAATAGTGTCTCTATACCTTTTTGAAGTAAGACGGCCGTTTGTTGAGAAGAGCCTAGTGTTCTTTCACCACGCTTGCCACTTTAACAAAAGAATATGAGAAAACTACCATAAC